AAAGATAACTCCTTCCCTATCTCATGCATGCGCACGATGCACAGCGAGAAACTACTGAGAATTGTCGAAGGCAAACGATAAACTTAAAACCCTATTTCTAGCTTGTGTGGTTAGGCTGTGCGTTGTCTGTCAGTCAGTCACGGAACTCTTATATACCTATATAGATAAATGAAACTGGGTAATAAAAAAATGCAAACTTCCGTTTTTTCCGTGACTTCTTAACTTAAATTGGACATAAGTCATGTTAAGAAATTTTTTTTTTAATATTAAGGTTATAAAGGTAACACGCAAACAAACACAATTCTGGTTGTTAGTTCTATGAAAATTTTGCATTGTCAATGAGTAACAGCAGGTTAATTCGGTAATAAAAAAATATTGATCAAATGTAATAATCTTTCATCAATTTCCTGTAATCACAACATTGCAATCTGATTGTTGGTAATGTTCTTCTAACGTGTGTAAATCTGCATCGATAATTTAATTTAGTCTAGCTTTCTATGTCCACATTCGTGACTTACGTAAATTTATATTAACTTAGAAAAGATTAGCTGAGGGTGTGTTTGACAAATTGTTCAGTATCACCTACTTGTTTTATTACATTTTTGTATATAGGTAAATAATTAAATATTTTTAATTGGTGTGAAATAGTAATTATATAAAATTGTTAAATGTGAGAAGACGAAAAGGGATTTTGAAATTAATACAGGCTGACATACAAAATCACGAGCCTAACAAACTTTGTATATATTAGCAGTAACACATTAATTATTATTGGTAAATTTGTTGATAGAATAAAATATGTTTGAAAAACATTTTGATGGAAAAATGTATTCTACTTTCAGAAAATTATTATACAAGGTGATTTCTCGACGAATAATGAGCCTGACCAAATTCTCGATACAACCACCATTACTCTTCGCAAGTTATAAACAGGTGCGCCAGAACTCGCGCCCCAGAGAAAATTTTCAAGTAAGGTAAGATACCAGGTACATGAAAAAATTGTTTAAAAAATTCTATCTGTCAAAAAAATTTGACAATTATTTTAATTATTTAAACAAAATAAAAGTTGAGAGATACTCGTATTATCACGAAATGGTCTGTATTTTTCCAGCTATAGATTGGGATTTTGTATACATTAAAATCTTTAAAAATAGTTTGAAGAAAGTAGAAGTCTTCCATTTTCAACGTTGAGATCACTTTTACTGTTTATTTTTGCCAATTTCAATGTGTTTACAATATTTAAAAAGTCTAATCCATCATTGGAAAAACAATACTATACTTGGTTTATTGAGAAAAATTTACCCTAAGTAAGACAAAATTGTTTTCTTTTGAAGTCTGAAGTGCACTGTGAAATATTAAGCTGCATATTAAAAATATATATCTTATTTGTTTGTGGAGAAAGTAGCAAGAACCCCACAAAAAACAATTTATTGCAATATTAAAAATAATTCTGAAATATACATTTTAGTTTACTAAATTTTTTCCTGAAAAAAAAAACTTCCTAATCAAAGGATTTTTCATTCTCACTAAAGTTTGTATAATACACTTATTTTGTTATATTGATTTCTTATTTTATAAAAATGAATTGTTGGGATCTTGCTTTACTTACAAAGCAAATTTTTTTCTTTAAATCTGTTGCGTAGATCAAATTTCATTTGCTATTTTTGCATCATTTTTCATGCTATTGTCACATTTTACTTTATTAAGAGGAATTATATGTATGTATGCAATATTGCAGTAACAAAAAATTATGCATGAAAAAATCTGATTTGTTAGCATAGCATTTAACTTTGTCGGCCAAACCAGTTACATACATACATATCGAAAACCAACAATGTTGTTGATATAATTTTATAATTAAATATCCAGTTCGTTTACTTCAATGCAGTGCTTTTTGTTTACAAGTTAATTCGTTTTGCAAAACAACCTTTAGCTCTTAATGTTTCAGCATTATAAATTTTTTTACTTATTGATTTTCCATATCTCCTATATAATTATTCCATTTTTTTTCTCCGAAAACAAAAGCCGACGTCTTGCCTGCAGGGTTGTGTTCAAAATTTAATAGGTCGTAAAGAACAGGCCAATTATTTCACTGATTGTTGTTTTGCCTCCGGCTTGCAGGAATGTACTTAGGATTCGCAAATTAGATGCATCTTTTTTGAATTTCGTAAACGTAGTAGTTCGACATTTTTATTAATTCGGTTTTCAATTAAAATGTCTAGGTGGCGAGAGATTTTTCCGATTTGGCGAACCCTTTTTGGGGATTAGTTTTCTGAAAAAGTTATCGAAGGTATCTAATCACAGTTGAAAGTTGCAAGTTCGCAGGAGTTGAAACTTGGTAATATTTCAAAAGTTGAATTAGCTCTTGACCATTGCTGAACCCATCAATCAAACAAAATAAAGAAACTTTGATTTATAAGAGCATGTTTCCGGGAAATTGACAATTTTTCTCAAGTCTAAACAACACGGCGACAAATGATTTCGTGCAACCTTTTATCTAGAAATTAAATTGATATTTGCCGTTCGTGCTACAATGGTAGTCAAGTTTATGAAATCTGAAGCCGAGGTATCAGCCACTACCTCTGAAATGAAGATTTCAACAAAGTTGACAAATAAAAGGTGCAATTCCAACCTCCACTTCAAATGAAAAATGTCATTCCATCGCTGCTGCCATAATTAAAAATTTATTACAGTTTCGTTTTGGAAAACTAATAACAGACTTTTAAAATATCTTGATGACAATTCACGAACGAGACATCAATGAAATTAGTTTTAGTTTTTCCGAATTGCTCGACTCGGTCTCGTCTCGCTTTAATTCGATCTTCTTTTGTGGCTAAACCACTCCACGATTGAAGGTCTTCAAGGCTCAACTAATTTATCGCAAGAAGCCAATGCGACGTCAAAGACAAATAGCAATAAGACGTCAAGGTAGGTCGTGAGAAAATCAGAAGCGTGAAAGTGGACAGCCGTCTAGATTTATCTTGTCCCTAAGGATTTAAACCGCTCATCCAGAAGGCCACTGCAAACACATCCGATATCACTCACCATCGTCAATACCCGCAAAGGATAATAAAACTCAAAGGTAATTATTTTACCTGAAATTAGAGAGATATATGAACCCGTTTGCCAGTGGTCATTTTCAAGGATTCACAATTTCCTCATAAATTATTACAATAAACATAAAAGGATTATTATTAGTATTAGACCGTATGGCATAGTAGGACACCAAGATAAAGTCTGATGAATGGTAGGTGGACATGTTTGAATTACAGTAAAACTTGTTACAGTGACTAAACTCAAAGTGTTGAGAGTATTAAGAATTTGACTTTTTTATATGAAAACTAACTTTATCTTTCTGTTCGAGGCGACTGAAAGCATCTAGAAGGATCATTTAAGTTGCGTATCAAAACGTTGAAAAAATAGTGGTCTAAAATTTATTTTATTATCTACCTAGAAATAAAATAGTACATTTTCGTTAATTTTGCTACAGTTATGATCACAATTTTACTAGATTTCATCGATTTTTAAAAAATAGTTTCAAAATCATTTAGCGAATTGAAAATTAAAATGGACGCTTTTTTGTCTCACTTTCAAAAAAGCTAATTTAGTTTTATAGAAAAACTACTCGAATCTTTTTCTATTATCGCAAATAATCAAAAGTTAAGGTACCTACAGTTTATTTTTTTTGGAATTGCTGGTGGGGGTAGTGTGAATCAAGATCACGTCATGGCCTCCGTCTGTTTTGACATTTGACAACTTCTGAAATTTTGGTACTAAAGTCAAAAATTAAGTTTTCTCCTGGCATTAGGATTTTTATAGAGCTTGAATTACGATTGTTATGATGATACGATAAATATTAGCCTCAAAAACACTTTTCCTCATTAAAAATGAAATTACAAATGACCTACGTGACGGTAAGACACACTTTTGACGTACGTTATTAGCTCTGTGTTACTTTAATCGCATTTGTTAAAGTGAGATAAATAGCCTGACTGACCTTACACAAATACGTAGCGAGAGAGTAACAAGGCTGTTTACAAATGTTAAAAAGAGATAGCGATTTGGTACGTCTTTCGAATTATTAATTGATCCACACGCATAAATAAAAAAACGGACTTTACATGTTATTTTTCTGTAGTTAGCAAACAAAGTTTTAGACTTCTTAAACATATACCTTTGTGTTTAAATTTGTTATTTGATTATTCAGAAGTTGGGAACAAAAGCCATTCAGCTGTGTTATAAAATTATATGTTTCAACTGAAAAACCATTTCTGCGGGTTTAATTTGTTTCAATATACCTAACATTGTTGAGTTTGTTTTCTTTTTATACATATTATAGTAATCAGCAATTAGTAATACATTAGTAAACACAATTTACATTTTTTACTATTTTCAAAAGTACTCACCAATTTGTAATAAAAGGATTCTTTTTCATTCCAGTTAAAGTTAATTGGTCGACGCTTGATATTTCAATAATTATTCTATTATCTTTAGGATAATGTTAATACTTGAGTAGGTCGTATGTAAAAAAAGCAATTTTGAGTCTTGGTGCCGTAAAAGTTCGTATGCGATGGATCTATTAGAAAGCAGATATTTCTTAATTGAAATTGGACCAATATTGCCAACGCCACCAAATTAGATACTGCAATCAGTTGTAGGTCATATATTTGACATACGACCTATTGCAGTATCAATGACGACAAAAGTTTTATACTTTGTTAATTTTAAATCTGACTCAGTGTTGTTTCAATAAAAACAGAGAGATTTTTTTTTAATTTTTATGATACTATTAAAAAATATCTGGTATTAGTAGCGTAAACGCCTTAAATGGTGTTTAATAAAATGATTTGGGTTATGAAAGAAAAGGTTTTTTGCAAGTTTGGTGCGAGAAACTTAAAAATTTATAGTTAATTTAAATTAATGATTCATTAAACTTGGTAGACTTTGAGTTGGAGGCAAATGGGAGTTGGCCACACTATAGGAGGGAGCATGCGATTCGACTTTAGTGTTCTCCCTTCACTGATATTCTCCTTTAGTGATGCGCCGTTTTCCGAGTCGAGCAGACGACGACGCTTGCTAATCTCAACGGCGTCGCGACGCAAGTCCACGTGTTCTAACATTTGGATTATTGAAAAACTCTAATTAGAGCGAGTAATAAGATGTGTGGTTGATGACACCTTCCAATTACAATGTTGTTGTTTTGTAGGACAGTCCTGGATTAATTTAAAGTTTCTATGGTGGCGTCCTCTTGTTGTAAAGGAAAATAAATAAAAACGGACAGACTGGCTATAAAGCAAATCTAAAAGCTCTGCAAATTGCTTGGCAATAAGAAATAAAAGTTTATTAAGCCATTTAGGCATCGTTAAAAGTGTTTACAATTCAACTAATGCCATATTAAGTGCTACAGCACATTTAACGTACGAAACTTAAAACTTTGCTGTGTGTATTTATTGTGTAGCACGATGTTTTGGCTGCGATTGATTTGTCCAGTCTTGTTCTTCTTAGCTGAAGGTAAGTGAAGCGTTTGGAAGATAAATTCGTGTCGTTTTGCCGCTGTAACCGACTCATTTCCCGATGGACGCCTTTAGATTTTTATTTTTGTTTCGTGTTCTAGGCGTATAGAGAGATTGGATCATACAACTGAACATAAATAAATTACTTGCGATAAATATTTGACACCCGAATTTACCGATAATCGTCTGCGGGCGAAAATCTCCCAGCTTTTGGTATTTGATTAAAAACACCACTTCAACAAATGAAAACTCTTTACTTTTTTATTATCATTAATAGGAGGTCATCAACATTACGATATATGAAATTTAAATAAGCCAAATCAACTTCAAAACACAGAGGATTTGATTGCTTATTTAAATCCCACAGGTTATCAAAGTCTGTAGGTCTGGGAATACAAGTTGTTTGTTTAGTTGAGTTTTAACCGGGATTTATTACTGTGGAAACTATTGCTCATTCATTGGTGGAATTATTTTATAACACGCAAAAAGTAAATTCAAGAGCAAACAAAAACATGAGTGAATGAATTGTATATTTTTAACGAATGAAATTGTTTTTTTTTTAATTTTGTTTTTTTTCAACATATCTTACAAATAAATCTAAGTTAAAGTAACATCTTCGTTTTTTTATTTTTCACTTGTTTTTCTTGTAATGACGGATTATTTCCAATTTTCACAAATTACACATTTTTAAAACCAGCACCGAATAAATGAATTAGTTTTCTTTTAATAACAAACATCATAATTACGAGTAGCATCTTCATAATGATTATTTTTTTAATTTGGATTTAAATTGGATTTAAAAATGTATGTACATCTCTTGAGAATATAACATTAGAACATTTTATTGTTTGCTATTTTTTGAGATATTTTATGTGATTTCTTGATTAGGTAGTATACAAGGTGTCAACTCGCGCCCCAGAGAAAAATTTCAAGTAAGACAAGATACAGGAACATAGAAAAAATGTTTAAAAAATTTTCTGTCAAAAAATTTTGACATTTATTTTTTGACATTTGACATTTTTTATGTCTATTTAATGATACTGACGATCTTGTATAAATATTTTTTGTAATTTGTAATTTATTTAGTGAGGGTACAAAAATTTTGCCAATAAAAGCCACAAATAACATTAAACAGAGTTACAATTTAGGATAAAGCTTCCTTGTTTCCTCTTCTAGTAGCCTGTAGCAAAAAAACTTGAAAAAATATTTTTTCAACCGAAATAAATAAAGTCAAGGTTCAAAATTTAAACTGTCATAACTTGGAAACTTTTATAGATAGAATATTTTTAACGTTTCCTGGTATGTAACCTTACATGTCATTTTTTTCCGAGGCGTGAGTTCTGGCGCAGCCCTATATAAATCAACAAATAAATCATTTTTCTAATTTATTTAAAATTATGGTTTACGTAGTGATTATACGTGGAAATATAGTGAGTTTTTTTAATATTCAATACATTCAAATTTCTACTCTTGGAATAATGTTTAAAATATGCACATAAAATATGAAAAATGTGCATGTAATTACACTATACTACGATTTTTAAATCATTTAGCTACAGTAATGCTTTGTCTGAAATTGTCTTTAAAATATGACAAATAGTAGTAGCAACCTGCTCTACATTTACAACATAAAAGGTCAAGTAGTTTTTTTATTTAAATTATTAAGTAAGCTAAATAAATTAATTTGTTCTGTTTTATTTGAACAAATTTCTATAATGATGCTAAAGTAATAATAGAAGTATTTATATTTATTATTTTTGATGTTCAAATACAGAGAAAAATCCCAAATAATATTAAGATACCAGGAACATGGATAATGTTTAAAATTATCTGTAAATTTTTTTTATTGACATTTGACCTTTTTTATATTTTTTTAATGTTGTTACCAATGATTTTGTATATATTTTTTTCATAATTATTCAGTAAAGGTACAAAAACTTGCCAATAAATAATGTTAAATATACATAGTTACAATTCAGGATACAGCTTCTTTGTTTCCTCTTCTAATAGATGGCAACAAAAAACATGTAAAATTATTTTTCCAACAGAAATAAATAGAGTTAAAGTGGAAAATTGAAACCCCCATAATTTTTATAGATAGAATAATGTATTTTAATTGGTATACAGTATTGGAAAATGCAAAGTTGATAAATATGTATTTTTACTTTGAAAGCTGCGTCAATAAAATTAAGGAAAAAAGCAATTCTCTTGGTGCTTGAAGAAATTTCCACGTTGAAGTTAATTTTCCTCGTCGTTGTAGCGTACTAAAACCATTAGGTCAGCAATTGCCGTGTAATTCAATAAATATTGTGTGGCATTTAGTCCGGCAAGTATATGTAATTATTTCTGTTTGTGTTAGTTTGCTAAAGAGCTTACACAGTTTCTGAATACTCTTAAAATGGTTTCTAACAACTCGTTACCAAATTTGATTTTCGGATAATAAACACACGAGATTGCTCAGTACGTGCAACTTTGAGCTTTCATTAACTTTTCTTATTATAAGACTAGTGCTAATTAAAAAGTGCTTTTTAATTTAATGTAAATTTATTTAATTTTGCACTTAATCCAATCGTAAATAACTGAGACTAATATTTTAGAGCAAGAGTGGTCTTTTATTTCGAAATTTAAATGAAGATTTGTTTTTAAGTGGAGTATAAATTGGAACGCGACCCAACTAATTATAAAGTATGGTTGTATATTTAATTTTGTACGATGCATCCAATTAAAACGTAATCTTGCTTGGTGTGAGCTTGGAGAATGTAAGACTCAGTCTTGACGTTACACATACCTAATCCTTTAACCATTTTCGAGGACAAAATTAATTTTTAATCAAATTATATGTTTTTTACGTTGTATATTTTAATTAAAAAATAATACTTTGCGAAACGCCCGCCGGTATACCAATTTAATTACACTCCAAAGATAATGAAAGAATCAAGAAAATGATTGTTTTTGTAATGAGCCTTTTTGGGGAATTCATAAATTTATTTTGCAAAAACTGTGATGTAGGCTTTCACGCTTGTTGTCCTTCGAAGTGGTTCTTCCGGCAATAAAATAGATTTGTTGAAGTTGCTTCAACGTCAGTTTGTGAAGATTTAACTCGTTGCAGTAAGACCTTAATAGATTCGACTCCTGTGAGTCTGTCTGATTTTTATTTCTCATAAAAATCCTGAATGAAAATTTAGCCGTGTTCATGTAGCGTGTGGGCAAATTGCAAATAAAAGGAAGCAATTTGAGAACTTAATTGCTCCACTATTGCTATTTATTGGTGTTGTTCCATTCTTTGATCGTATCTAATCTTGTGAGACAATTAAGAAGATAATTTACAAGAACCGGAAACAAAAGTGAGGATTTTCCCCTCGACAATAACTCGTTTATACTTCTCCGATCGTTTTTCCAAAGCAAACTTTTAAATTTCCTCTGTAAATTAACTTTTAATCAACTTATAAGAGTTTAATAGTGTCAACTTTTGCGATAATGCTTTCTCACTTAATTAATTGGTTAATTAATTAAATTCGGGACAAATTCGCTCGAAAGTTTTAATCGTATCATTTTTAAAGTTTCGCATTTATGTAAATGGGGCTTAATATTGATTTGTCAAGCGAGACCTCTGACTGCTCAGAATCACATCATCTAAGTATTATTATGGTAATTTCGAATAAGCAATCGCAGCTCTCCACCAAAGAAGTATAATTGTGTAATAATACTAAAATGTCAGAAGCACTAAACATGTAAATCACACTATGTAAATCTGGGTCTTTATAGCCCGGGGCTCCCCTGAAATATCCAGCCTTTCCACACCCCCAACTATCAATACAGACTGGAACATTTACATTCCAAATGATGTGCATTACTAAATCCTTGTCTCTAACTTATAATACAACGGGATTTTCCCGATGGACACCTACAATGTGCCCCAAACTCTTTAAAAGTTACATTTTCACGCAATATTTTCGACTAAACTTTCGACGAGCTTTTTTAATGTAAAAATGCGGAACTTTTTGTGTACCACCCTAAATGAGTTTATCGCAGGGATCAGACAGGCCCGCACTGACATGACTTGTCCCCTTCTTAAGACTAATATACAAGATACAATTACTTACCCAAAAAGTTAAATTAAAATCAAAATTTTTTCAATACTTTTGACTGAAAGGCCATAATTACAAAAACGAAATTTTACTTTAATAAATGCAAAATTGAACCCAGAATAAATTCTAGATACCTTTTTTGAAAAATGTTGGATAATCACGCTTCAACGGGAACTCTTCTATCTGATATAATTTTAATGCTATTCTGTTAATTGAGGTTGTGAAACAATATAAATGAATTTATTATTGTTTCTTAAATTTTTAATTGGAGCTTTTCGAAATGATTATAAAAAAAATATTAAGACGAAACATCAGTTTGATATTTATTAGGGAATTGGGAGATATTTTTTAAGAATATATTGTCTTCTGATTACCAACCATGTTTTTAAAATTTATTTTTACTTGAAAATGATCGTACACAGTAATAACTGGTTTACTGTGGTAACTAAAATTTTCTGCGGTGACTTGACCTCCAAGTGGATTTGGCCCCGGGGAAATGTCAGTCCGGTCCTGGCTTGAACTTTTGGGGAAATACTCTCAAGTGTGTTAAGATCGAGGGACGAAATCTGCAAAAGAGTGTCAATATTCGACACGCTTTGAATAATGAAAAAGCGAGACAAAGCTCCGACGCTGAGCTTTCTCAGAAAGTTTACGATTTATTAAAATATTATTCCGATATTAGCGGATCGATTCCCGAGGGATAAATCATTTAATTTTGCTTGTTTAAATAAAATGCGTCTGTTTTTATGGATTTGAGGAAGTCTGACCTCTCAAGGGCACAGTTACATAAACTCGTTTATTAAGAGGAAAAGATTGAAATAAATGTAGCAGAATTTTTAAGCGGCGCATTTTAAAAAATACCGACGTTCTGAATTACTTAATTATAATGAATTATAGCCTCTTAATTTTT